CCTACCGGAGTCAAAAAGGAATAAGAAAACTATTGTTAAAAGAACACAGTAGCCAGGCATGGTGATGTAGGCCTGTAATTCCAGCTACTTGGGAGATTGAGGCAGGAAGATCACAAGTTCAAGGCCAGGCTGGGCAAATTAGCAAGACCCTATCTCAAAATAAATAAATAAATAATAAAGTCATACTGGGGATATGACTCCATGGTAAAGTGCCCTGGATTCAATCCCCACAAAAAACAAATGTGTCTATGTGCCCCAAAAAGCAAATTTATATATATATAGATATACACACATGTAAAAATATGTTCTATATAGAATATTACTTTAAAAAGCAGAAAAAAATATTTAATAGAAAAAGAAACTTTTTATGAATATCGAAACACATTACAAGCCAGGTGCAGTGAGACACCTGTAATACCAGCAGCTCGGGAGGCTGACGTAGGAGGATTGAATTCAAAGCCAGCCTCAGCAACTTAAAGAGGGCATAAGCAACTTAGCAAGACCCTGTCTCAAAATAAAATATAATAAAGGGCTGAGTATGTGGCTTCACGCTCCTGGGTTCAATCCCTGGTACCAAAAACAAAAATATACTATGAAGGGCTGGGTATGTATCTCAGTGGTAGAGGGCTTGGCTAGTATGTGCCAGGACCTGGGATCAAAAGACAAACTCAAAAAAAAAAAAAGTACACTAAGATATAGCTCAACCAGGGCTGGGGCTTAGTGGTAGCACACTTGCCTGGCAACTGTGAGGTACTGGGTTTGATTCTTAGCACCACATACAAATAAATAAAATAAAGGTCTACAAACAACTTAAAAAAAAAAAAAAAAAGATATAGCTCAACCATAGCTGACCTGAGCTATACCTCTACTACTGATATGGCTCAGTGGTAAACACTTGCCTGGCCTGGTGAGGCCCTGTGTTCAATCACCAGCATCACACCAATAAAAAACAAAAACAAATCAACAAAAAAAACTCCCACATCTATAGCTCAATCTATTTCCAATCATAAGTAATGGTATGGATTCAAGTGTCTACGTTATAAATTCTAGATCTAAATGCTACAATCTAAAGATGGATACCAGCTTCATATTCACTGGGGAATAAATTTTCTAAGAAACATTCCCTACTTTTGAAGTCTTAAACACCTAAGCCACAAAAAAATTCCTTTAAAAAAAAAAAAAAAGACTCAAGCCAGGCACAGTGGCCCACATCTAATTCCAGCAACTCAGAAAGCTAAAGCAGGAGAAACTAAAGTTCCAGGCAAGCCTTGGTAACTTCATAATACCCTGTTTAAAAAGTGGCAGGGGCTGGGGCTGTAGCTCAGTGGTACAGTGCCTGCTTAGCATGTGTGAGGCAGTAGGTTTGATCCTCAGCACTACATTAAAAATAAATAAACAAAGGTATTGTGTTGGGGCTGGAGTTTTTTAGCTCAGTGGTAGAGTGCTTGCCTAGCATGTGTGAGGCCCTGTGTTCGATCCCCAGCGCCATGTAAAACTAAATAAAAAGAACAAAGTTATCATGTCCATCCACAACTAAAAATATTTAAAATAAAAAAAAGGTACCATGTTCATCTACAACTAAAACAATATTTTTTTAAATAAATTTTAAAAAAATACAGTGCTGGATATATAACTCAGTGGTAAAGTGCCCCTAGGTTCAATCCCCAGAAACAAACCAAAAAAGAGAAAAAAAAAAAAGAATAGCATTCTGGGGCTGGGGTTGTAGCTCAACGGTAGAGCACTCGTAGAGCACTCGCCTAGCACACGCGAGGCCCCTGGGTTCGATCCACATAAAAAAAATAAGTAAATAAAATAAAGGTATTGTGTCCAACTAAAAAAAAAAAAAAAAAAGAATAGCATTCTACCTTTAGTGATCTGCCTTTAGACAACTGTAGAGACTTCTTAAAAACCTTAGAATGGTAACAGGCATAGATGACCCAGATATGCTTCAAAAAAACCCAAGTACTCTCAATTAAAAAGAGCAGCAACAAGTAGGCCTGCTAATAAACTCCATTTACATCTCCACTGAAACTGTCACAATCATTTGAAATAGCTACAAAAACAATTTCACTCAAGTTCAATTCTATATAATATGAAAATATGTTTACTAACTAGCCAAAATAGAAAATTATAATTCAAGGGAAAAAAATCTTCTAAAACTTTAAAATTCTTTTCAAGGTAAAACACACCCTCTCTATACTATAATGAAAGAAAGTTCTAACACAGCTGTAACTATTTAGGACAAAAAAAATCAGATCTTCCTTTAAGTCGAAACATATGGCTATTAAATAGCTATGATATGAGTTAATATTCCCTGTGTAAGATTAAAACTCTCTCCAATTAGAGAAACACAGAAAATACAAGTTTACATTCAAACAAAATAGGAACACTGTGACAGATCAGACCACCGTGACAGATCCCATAAATGTTTTCACTATGTTTCAGAATGCAACTACAGGATTACTTTTTTTCTTTGAGACACATAGGACAAAAGCTTACATCAGATTGCTTATGTTAAAAAGTATATTTTTCTCCAGGTACTTGGAATGAAAACAAAACTAATTAGATAAAGCCCAAAAGAAAGAGACTCTTTTATTAACAGCCATTTACACTTTACTCCTAATGACCTGTCAATTAACTTTTTTGGTCTAATTCCAGATTTGGTACTAACCAAATGAGTATCAAATGAGTTGAAGGATGATTCAGTTTAAGCCTTATAAATTACAAATGAAGCCAAGACTCATTAATTTACACAAAAAACAAATGGTTAAATCTTCAAATCTTTGTTCAATTGTTACCCGCTTCAATGAAGCTTCCACTAATCCATTTAAAATTGCAACCCATTACCATTCCCAAACTCCCTTTGCCCTTAATCTGCTTTCCTCTAATCTCAGTCTTCTCTAATACTACACATAGGTTGCTAATTTAATGTCTTTTCTCTTATTAGAATGTAAACTTCAGGAAAGCAACTATCTTTGCTGTATTCATCGATATTTCCAAGTAACCTACAACCTGCCTTGTACACAGATGTATAAAAGTTTGTGTTTAACATAGAAGTTTTAGGCCCTTCTAAAAGACATTTGAGACGAATATCTCACTGACAAAGCATGATGAACAATTTAAATGGAAGCATGATGAACAGTTGCAGCACAAATTCTAAGTTGGAAAGCTTGAAGAGAAAGCAGCAGCAAAAGCACAAAGCTGAAAATCATTTTTTTAAAAAAGGGAGCTGGAGAGGCAGCCCTAGTTCTATCCCCAGCATCACAAAAAAGTTTTTATTCACACTGAATCCCGTACCCAAAGAAATTCAAATGTATTATTTAGAGTAACTATATTGTAAACCTATTAATCTAAAAAACAGGGAAGAAGGGAAGGAAATGTAGAATGGAAAGAGAGATGGATTAACTAGTGATAATTCCTAATGTGCCATGAAATTACATAAAATTCACCTAAATAACTGAGTCACAGACTAGCAGCTAATAACCTTTTGGATCAAAGAGGGGGTTAACAACAACAACAAAAAGGCTTTAGAACAATTCCCCTCAGCAATTTCATTACTAAGTAAAAATCACAATAGATAAAGCACAGTTCTTCAAAATTATATTCACATATATTATCTCATTAAGTCGTCAGAGGAACAAAATTCAAAATTAAATATAAGGGGCTGGGGTTGTGGCTCAATAGAGCACTCGCCTAGTACATCCTCATCACCACATAAAAAAATAAATAAAATAAAGACATGTGCCCAACTAAAAAATAAATATTAAAAAAAAAGCTAACAAATAGCCAAGTAACTAACAAAAACTCAATTTATGTAATGTATACACTAAACAGTACACACAACTACTCCCTTGAAAATCCTCTCAGTATTTGTCAAACTTCACAGAAAACTATTCTATAGAAGAACCACCTTCTTGGCCTTAGAAACTGGTGAGTCTTCTGAAGAATAATACAGCACAGCTAACAAGAGCCATAAAAAAATCTTGAAGCCCTCTGACCTAGTTAAACCACTCCTGGGAACTTTCTCCAGGGAAATAATTACACTGAAGCAAAAAACTATTAGTATAAAGATGTTCATTGCACCACTATCTATAAAAGCAAAAAAAGTGGAAACCCAAAACCAAAAATAGTTAAGTAGAAATTTCATTTAACAGATTGTTCTGTTTGACTAAAAACCTTTAAATATTTGACAATACAACACTAAAGGGAAAAAAGCTGACCACAAGGTATACACAATCACTACAACTACATAAAAACAAAAGGTAAAAAAGCAAAAGAATTGGATTAAAGTAAAATCATGCTCAAACTTAGGAATCTAGCTGCATTGTTCTAAGAAAAAATAGCTACCTTCAAATGTATTTGATAAAGACACAATAAATCATTTTCAAAGTCATAAAAAAATCTATTCACAAAGTCAGATATGAAATGTTAATTAAGGCAGATGGGGGCTGGGGATGTGGCTCAAGTGGTAATGCGCTCAACTGGCACGCGCGGGGTGCTGGGTTCAATCCTCAGCACCACATAAAAATAAAATAAAGATGTTGTGTCCACCAAAAACTGAAAAATAAATATTAAAAATTCTCAAAAAAAAAAAAGGCAGATGTGAATTTGGACTTTCAAGAATATTTTGCCATCTCAAATCAAACCCAATGCTTTTTTTTTTTCACCCCTGCTCCCAGAATCTTATAATTACTGATATACACTAACGTGAGGATACTTTAGAAGTTGTAACTGATTTACAAATAACCCAATAAAGTGGGTAAAAATCTAAAACAATTCTACATTGAAGAACTATACAGAAAAAAACTTCCTGTGGATTCTATGAATCCTATACATTAGACAAAACTACATTCATCAAAATAATGACATAAAAGAATTAAAAACAAGAATCTAAATTAACCTTTAATTTTTGTGAAGATTCAAGTAACAAAAAAAAAAAGATCAATGATACTAAAACATTCCAAATATCTTTGATCACTCAATCTACTCTGGGTCTGGATTTTTGTTATAACCTAAATTTAAGCAAAACAGTCAATCAAACTTAAAAAATTGTCCTTTTAATGTTTAATTACAGGACTAGGTTGACTAGATCCCCACAGATTTCTTCCTGACACCTAAGAAGAAAAAAACTGAATGCATACTTTTTTATCAAAATCATATGAAAATTTTTTACCAAATGACACTGAAATTACAGAACCCTGGATGGACTGATTAGGGAAATGGCCGCTTGATTTAACTAGTTGGGCTAAGCAGTGTTTGCAGTGCTTGGAACAAGGGGAAACTGGGAGTGTTGAGGGTTACAAGTCAAAAACTGTCCTCAGCAGCAAAGTTCCTTAAAAAACAGCTACAATTCATCTTGATAGGTAACTTCTGCTGTAGATGAAACTTCTTTGGAAAGGCACTGCTGAAAATGTGTTTAAAAAAAAAAAAAAAGAAAAGAAAAATCAGTGAATGAAGAATCCCCTTATCCTACCTTGGAAAGCCCTGGATGTCTATTTAAGGAGGTCGCTGGTCAGAGGCCCTGCCAACCAGGCCTAGGCCTGAGGGAGACACAGTAGTGCCTGCAACACGGATGGACTCTCAGGGCACAGAGGAAATGGACTTGTGTGCCCTTGGTGAGCTCTGGCGGCACTCCCCAAGTTAAGGACACCAGCCACAAAGGAATGGAGTCTATTGGCATTTGCTTCATTTGAACACTAAGCATTTTCTTAGTTCGTGAAATACGAACTGACAACCACCCCCCCCCCCAACAGGCCTACCGGCACAAACACACCCTTAAGAGTCAAATCCAGTTAGCTGGGACAACACCAAGCCTCCAGCTTCTATCACAAACCTGGAGCATGGGTAGGGAAGAGGGGACAAAAATCCAAAGAAACACCCCATTTCTACCTTCAGGAACCCCCATCACCCAGGCTGCAAATCCTCTCCCCAAGAAATTATAAACACTGGGTCCCCGGCTTGTCACCTCCAGGCTGCCGGCACCACCACCAGCCCCAACACCCGAGTTCGGCCCTCGCCCACCACTCCCCAAAGGCGCCTTCCCCTCCGCGGCCACGGAACAGCAATGCGGATCGGCCACCGCCCGCGCGCGCCGGAGACCTTGCGGGGGAAGGCGGGAGGCCGGCACTCCCCACCCCTTCCTCAGGTGCGGGAGGGCGGAACGCTGCGGGAGATTTGCACCGGGCCCCACGGTTGCAGAGTTCTGGACCCAAGCTACCGCCACCTTAGGTTTACAGGGAGGAGGGTGCAGGAAGCCACTGCTTACCTACCTCACCCCGTCCTTCCATTTTCTCCAGAACAGGGAAGGGGAAGGTTGAGGACAAGAGACCAACCCCAAAGATTCCGGAGGAGCCCGGGGGTAACCCTTCAGCGTGGACGGGAGACACTGCCCTAACTCCCCCCTCCTTCGATATTCCCTAACCCGGGAGGAGGCATGTTTCAGCAGACGAAACAAAACTAAAGACCCCTCCGATGCTAATTTTTAAAATGGGGGTGGGTCGCTGCCCGTGCATCTCCCCCATTCGGGGCAGGAAAGGTTTCAGGGAGGTGGAACAGACGCTGACAATTGCCCAGACCCGCGAACCCCTTCCTAACACTTAAATGGGGAGGGAGGGGGTCTCGTCCCTCCATCTTGACCGTTCGGGGAGGGGGAGGGGATGCTGCAGAAGGCTGGACGCGGCCTGACAATCCCAGCAGAATCCCGCGGCGCTCTCCAACCCCAGACCCGAGGCTGCAGACCCGAGCAGGAACCCCACCCCGACTGCGGGTCCCCAGCCCATCCCCCAAGCCGGCCGGTCACGGGGCGGGGACAGCGGTGAGGGCCGCGGGGGAGGGGACGCAAGGCCCCGGTTCCTACAGGCCCGGAGCAGAGGGGGCTGGGGCGCCGACACCCACCTGCCCAGGCCAGGCCGCCCGCCGCCTGCGCCGGCCGCTGCAGCCGAGGAGGAGGAGGAGGAAGCCGCGGCCGAGGACGCCGAGACTGAGGACGAGGACGGCGGCGCGGCAGCGGGCGACGTGAGAAGGCCGCCGCCTCCGGGCTTGCGGGCAGTGGCGGCCGCGGGCGGCTGCTGTTGCTGTTGCTGGGGCTTCAGCGACATGGTGAGGGGCCCATACACCGGCTCGCACGCCGGGCGGGGACAGCCTGGAGCCGGGCGCGCCGAGGAGACGCCGGAGCGCGGCGGGGACGCGCGGGCGCCGAGCGGGGAGGCGCGGGGTGGCGCGGCCGAGAGGGCGGCAGGACTGGCGAAGGGGAAAAGGAGGACGACGAAGGGGCGGGGAAGCCCGCCGAGACCGAAGAGCCGCCGGGAGCCGGGCCGGGACGCGCCGCCGCCGTTGCCGTTGCTACCAAAACAGTCTGAGGCGGAGAGAGGCGAGCGCTGCGCGTAGGTAGGGGGGCCGGGGCCGCGCGGGGGAGGGGCGGCGGAGGGATACGCGTCCGGGTTCGCGCCGCCGCCCCGCCCGCCGTGCCGCGCCGCCCGCGGGAGCGCGCGCCACCCGGGCCGCCTGGCTGCGGCAAGGCGGCGAGGCTCGGTAGCCGCCGCGGGGCCCAGAGGAGATGCGACCGTGGAGCGCATTGTGGGCCGGGCTCGCTGAGACGTCAGGTGTGGGGGCCGGGTGGGCACGAAGGTGTGGGCTAGGGACTCTTTACCGGAAGTCGGAAGGGTCGGGCGGAAGCTGAGCTTGAGAAGGCCCCAGGCCGGGCGGGACACGTGAGGAGCTGGCGCTGCGCTGCGCTGCGTTCGCGGGGGTCGGGTGAGGGCCCGGCGCCCGGCCCTGCCCCAGTCGAGGCGGGTCTGCCCTTTGGAGAGGGCGTGTCAGTCTTCGCCTGCGGGACCGACCTAACCTAGAGGACGTGAGGGGAGCCTTTCTTCCTGCACGAGGTGCCTTCTGCGTCCGCAGACTTCTAGGAGAGGACCTTGTCTGCCCCCACCTGATGCAACCTAGAAAATGAACTTCCAGTGTCTTCGGGGAGAGACGATGTCTTCTTGCTACGCATAAAGCGCCTAGAACGTTACCAGACTCAAGGAATTTGGCATCCTGTAGTTTTCTTTGTACCCCCCCCAGCGCCAGGCACACAGTAGGCCCACCTGTGTCACGCGTACTTTCTTTAGCTGCCAAAATTGGAATCAAGCCACCTCCTGAAGACACCCCCATCTGATTAACTTTTCCCCACTTTTTCCACCCCAGCAACACAATAACCAGAAAACTCTTGGATATCTGACCTTGATTTGAACCTGTTTTCCCTCACTTGAACTTTTTTCCTTATTCACGAGACTCAAAAGGAAATGTACATGATTGATAGAACTATGGATAATGGGGTCTTGCTATGGATAATGGGGGTTTCCTTTTGTGGAAATAAAACAGACATCACAAGAATGTGAACTTCAAACCTTGACCCCTTTAGAAGTTTTATTTTAACTAAGGCAGCCAGCACAGTAGTCCTTTTTTTTTTTTTTTTTTTTTAATATGTTGCAATTAAACTGGAAGCAAGTCAATCAATACCTTTTTTGTTTTGTTAGCAGTGCATCTGGTTGGGGTTTTTGTTTTGATTTGGTTTGGGCACCATGGATTGAACCCAGAGGGGCTTATCCACTGAGCCACATCCCCAGCCCTTTTTTTTTTTTTGGTTGGTGTTGTTCTTGTTTCTTTTTTAAAGGTCTCCTAAATTGCTTAGGGCTTCCCTTAATTTCTGAGGGGAGCTTTGAATTTGTGATCCTTTCACCTCAACTTCCCAAGATGCTGGGCCAGCCTTACAACTAGTTTTTAAGGAAATTACAGGAGAAATAAACACCGAAATTACCCATAATCTGCTCAAATTGTTCACATGAAGGGTAAACGCCTAGGAAAACTTGGAGAATGATTAAACCAGGAGTCTCCAATAGCCTAATTGAAATTACACTACATTAATTTACTAGTCAAGGCAAAAATGGCCCTTGTACTTAGCAAACACTTGGAAATTAAGAAATCCGAGATCAGTTAAAGAGATTGAGGAAATGTGATATTCTTTTAAACCCACAGTTGTAAGTCCCTTTAAAAATTAACTCAAAGGAGTTGGCTGCACCATAGCAAATGCCTATAATCCCAACAACTTGCAGGGCTGAAGCAGGAGGATCGAAAGTTCTAGGCCAGCCTGAGCAACTTAGCAAGACCCTGTCTGAAAATAAAATTGGAAAAAAGGCTGGAGATTGTAGGTTAGTGGTAGAGGACCCTGGGTTCAGTCCTCAGTACTGCGAAAAAATAAAAATTAAGCCAAAGGAATAGCTAGATACTGTGGCACATGCCTGTCCCAAAGGGAGTCTGAGGCAGGAGGATTGCAAGTTCTAGGTCAGCCTCAGCAATTTAGTAAGGCCCTATCTCAAATTTTTAAAAAGGATTGGGGATATAGCTTGGTGGTAGAGCATCCCTGGGTTCAACAGACAACCCCCCCACCCCCACACACACATTAACTCGAAGGAAAGAAGGGCCATAATAGAAATACAACCACTCTTCTTTGACTTTTGATGATTTAACCTATCTTTTTATTTTTATTTTATTATTTTTTTTTGTAAAGAGAGGAGAGAGAATTTTTAATATTTATTTTTTAGTTTTCGGCAGACACAACATCTTTGTTGGTATGTGGTGCTGAGGATCGAACCAGGGCCGCATGCATGCCAGGCGAGCACGCTACCGCTTGAGCCACATCCCCAGCCCTTAACATATCTTTTTTAAAAAAATTTTTGTTGTTGTTGTAGATGGAAACAATACAATTATTTTTATGTGATATTGATGATGCATGCTAGGTGAGTGCTCTTTCCTCTGAGCCACAACCCCAACCCCAACAGTTATATCTTTAACCAAGCTCCCAGAATTCAATCATAGGCCCAAATTCCAGGTAGATGGGAAGAAAAAAAGAGTTGAATATGAAGGCCTGAAGCTGACATGGCTGAATTTGGTTTCATTTAAGGCTGAGAAAGCTCAAGTTTTAATCCAGTATCATTGCAAAAAATTGAAGTTTTATTGAGACATGATTTACATATCATGAAATTCACCTATTTTGTGTATGACTCAATGATGCTCAGTAAATTTGTAGTCTTACAACCATTGCCACTAATCTCAAAACATATCATCACCCCCAAAGACCCTTCATGCTCATTTGCAGTTTCTCCTGGATTCCATCTTCAGCCCAAGGCAACCACTAATCTGCTTTCTCTATGTATATACATTTGCGTATTCTAGACATTTCATGAAAATGGAATCTTACAACAAATGGCCTTTGGTGTCTGCTGTCTTTCACTTAACATCATGTTTTTGAGTTTTAATAACAACATGTCTTATGTGTCATTCCTATCATTGCTGAATAGTATTCTATTACTGGATATATTCAACTCATTTTGTGTCTCTGCTTCCCAGTTGACAGACATTTTGATGGTTTCAGGTTTGGGGCATTTATTCAATGCTGCTGTGAATATCTGTCTTCATGTGGACATTTCTCTTGGATAGGTTCCTACAGATGGAATTACTGAGTACTGGAGCAAACTACTTATTTTTACCTTTTTTTTTAATTGGGGAGTGAACACTGAAGTGCTTAACCACTGAGCCACATCCCCGGCCTTTTATTTTTTATTTTGAGACAGGGCCTCACTAAGTTGCTGAGATTAACTTTGAATTTGCAATCCTCCTGCCTCATCCTCCCAGGTCACTGGGATTATAGGCATGCACCACAGTGCCCAGCTCCCAGTTAACTCTATTTTAAACACTCCCTTTTTCTTCATGGAGAGAGGATCATCAACTAAAAACAATGAATATCTTTTTGTTGTTGATGTTGTTGTTGACAGACCTTTATTTTATAATAATATTTTATTATTTATACTCATGGTGCTGAGAATCGAACCCTGTACCTTACACATGTGAGGCAAGTGCTCTACCATTGAGCCACCCCAGCCCCAATGAATATCTTTTATTGCAAACTCTTCACCTCAAATCTAGATAGCTGAGAGTTATTTAACAGCAACTTTGTATCAAGGGGCTTTAGCTTGGGCTGGGGAGGTGGCTCAAGCAGTAATGGTATACCCGGGGCACTGGGTTCAATCCTCAGCACCACATACAAATAAAATAAAGATGTTGTGTCCACCAAAAACTAGAGAATAAATATTAAAAAATTCTCTCTCTCTCTCTTTAAAAAAAAAGAGGGGGAGGGCTTTAGCTTTACATTAAAATATCAGAGTGGGCTGAGGTAGCTCAATGATAGAGCTTTTGATTAGCATACACAGGCCCTGGGTTCAATCCCAACACCAAGGGAAAAAGAGAGAAAATGTCAGGCTCACATTGTAGCTCAGTGGTAGAGCGCTGCTTGCTTAGCATAGGTCAGGCTCCGGGTTTGATTCTCAGCACTGCATAAAAAAACAAATAAATAAAGGTTAAGTTTTTTAGAAAGGGGGAAAAAGGAGAGAGGAAAATGCCAGAGTAACGCAGTTTAAAATAAATAATGTCGAGGCAATCATCTAAGATAGTCCCAAATGCTCCTTGCCTGCTGGTGTTTAGACCCTGTAAAATAACTGCCACTCAAAGAAGAGCTACACATTATGACTCCTTTCTAACTAAAACTTGGGGAAATTATGACTTTCATTTCTAAAATTCAGGCACAAAAAGACTATGGCAACTGTCCTTCCTTAACTCACCTGCTTTAGGGAAAGCAAGTTGCCAAGTTGTGAGCTCACCCATGGAAAGGCCCACAGGGAACTGAGGTCTCCAACCAAGAGTGAGGACCTGCTAACTACCAACAGCCATGTGAGTGAGCCTAGAAACCAAGCATCCCCACTCAAGCCTCCATCTGATTACAGCTCTGGCCTACATTTTTTTTTTTCCCTTAAGACTTTTAGTTGTAGATGGACACAATACCTTTATTTTGTTTATTTAATTTTACATGGTGCTGGGGATCGAACCCAGGGCCTCACACATGCTAGGCAAGCACTCTACCACTGAGCTACAACCCCAGCCCCCCGGCCTACATTTTATTCAGCTTTCTTAGAGACCTTGAGCTACAGACACTCAGTTAAGCCAATAACCCTCATATTGTTTTATGCTGCTAAATTGTGGGGCAATTTATTTTGCAGCAATAGATTACTAATACAATGACAGATAAAAGTGTTTTTCCTTTGATTTCTAAGTATATTTAGAGAGGTTTGGGTTGGGGTTGGGGTTGGGGGGGGACATTAGGGATTGTACTCACATGGGGGTGCTTTATCACTGAGCTACACTGCCAGCTGTTTTCATGTATTTTTTATTATTTTTTTTTATTTTTTGGGGTACCTGGTATTGAACTAAGGACCATTCAACCACTGAGCCACATCCCCAGCCGTATTTTGTATTTTATTTAGAGATAGGTCTTACTGAGTTGCTTATTGCCTCACATTTTGCTGAGGCTAGCTTTGAACTGGCAATCCTCCTGCCTCAGCCTCCCAAGCCACTGGGATTATAGGCATGTGCCACTGCACCGGACCCTTTTTATTTCTTATTTTGAGACAGGGTCTTGCTAATTTGCCAAGGCTAGCCTCAAACTTGCAGTCTTCCTGCCTCATCCTCCTGAGTCACCGGGAGTACAGGCAAGAGCTATTGTAGCTGACTGCATTTATAGTTCTTTAAGGACAAATACTGGAGTCAGGAATTAATATCATAGAGTTAAAGTGGTTTTTCAGGCAGCTATTAAAACTAACAAGTAGGGCTGGGGATGTGGCTCAAGCGGTAATGCACTCGCCTGGCATGCGTGGGGCACTGGGTTCGATCCTCAGCACTACATAAAAATAAAAATAAAGATGTTGTGTCCACAGAAAACTGAAAAATAAATACTGAAAAATTCTCTCTCTCTCTCTTTAAAAAAAAAAACTAACAAGTGTCTTTGAAGAGTTATCATCAAAAAATGAGGAATAATGTCCTAAAAGAGTTCTGATACTAAGAAGTATTGCTGGCATTTAAAACTTAA